ACTGTTGTTTCCACATTCTGTTAACAAATATTCTATTGTGCTTCTGTAAAATGTTGATGTAAATACATGTCTTTTTATCCCTTTGGACCCCGGAATCGGATGTAGTGCTTGGTTAGTGTCTCGAACTTCGAACAAGAGATGTAATATGATTCTTGAAATATCCACGATATATTTGGAGGTGTTTGGACAATTTTTTTAAACAAAGAAATCCATCCAACTTACAACGGATGGCAAAAGTACTCTCAATTTTTCTTCGGCTGATTCGCAAGAACCAAATGAAACCATACATTTATCAACTGTTGTATTTTTATATCAACTAGCAGAAAACGTTAACTGTAATAATTAGCCTTTATGTAGCTTCATTTTTTACATAATTTATGATATCACATTCAAAACTGAAGGGAAATGCATTATAATTACATATTCATTCTTTACTCAACCGTATTTATGGCTTGTATATAACCAAACACCATTTTTAATGGAAAATTTATACCTAAATATCATCATATTCCATTTACACTAGACTTTTTAAATAGCTTGTATATAGTAAAAGTCATACTTCAGTATTGGACGCCCCATTGATTGATTTGTTTCAATCCTTGCATTTTGTATTTAATTTATACAGTAGTTTAGAAACACCACTACTACATGGGGAAACTACGCTCAAAAATATGTCAACGTGTTAAAAACAAAAGCGTTTTGTTGTATAATAGGCTTTAAAAAGTTATGTTAAACCTATGTGTGTGAAATTGTGCAATGTTTAGGAATCATGTACTAGTATTTTATACTCTATCTTTCAACAGTTTTTCGCCTTCACAACTGTTGAAACTCAACTCAACCCACCAGTGAAGCAAACTGTATCTATAAATCGAAGGCGCTAAGTAAGAAGTAAAGAAACCCCAATAACATGCGTTCTTGTTCTTGCAAGCAATAACTGAGGAACTCGTTAAAAAATAAAGATTAAAAATTTGATTTACAGGTAATAAAAATATACACTTGTGCATATACGTTGCGTCTCATATCATTTGGAATTTTATTTATTATTTTTTTTACTCGTGAAGGTATTCGTAAAATTTTATGGTGCTAGGGTCTGTAAATAATAATATAAAATCTCATCTACTTTATTAGCGAATTTCCCTATAGGGAAGTAGCTATTACGTTATTAAAGAGTATAAAACTCGGATCTGTCAAACCTTTTCTAAACAGAAATTCAAAATGTCTTCTGGGCCCGATGTAATGAGAGCAAACATTTTGTACCAATTTTAACATTAGGGTAATTCTTGTCTATAAGGCACTCTCTTTGACATTGGCATATATTTGGGTTTTTACATATCAGTACAAAACCCCTAATTGCTATGAAAGTTGAAAACTCTTTAAATAGATATGCGTATATTGAATATTTCTCATTGAATTAGATAAAAATAATTAACAGTAATATACAAAAACGTGATCTAAATGTATGTGTGATGCAATTTAAAAATTCTTCTATTTGAAAGGTTTGAAGAAATTCAAAATCGATCAATCAATTGAATAAATTTAATTTATTGGTGCAACAATTAATTTATAGTTTAATTTATTAATTTGTAATACAACATTTGAAATTTAGAAACCATACGAATATTTCTTTTTAATTTTCCTATACATTGTTTACTTCCCATTGAAATTAACTTTATCACAATTCGAGTCTACGCACAGGCCCTGCCTATGTACACTTTTTCCTTTGTTATAGAAGGTTTTTCTTTTACATTTTTGTTCACTTATTTCTCTTGTATAATTTTTGTTATCTAGATAATAATGTTTGCTGTATTGTGTATAAGTAAAAAAATCAAATGCACTGATGTATATAATTAATGGGAAATAAATATTATTTCATTTAATTTCAGATTAATTAATCCAAAATTAAATTACCACGAGAAAACGAAGTAGTATTTCAATTACAATTTATAATCGTACTGTACTTAAATTTTAAAGAAATAACCAAAACCTTGTTAATTGGGTGAAATTGCATGGTTTGCATTTTTCAATAAATTTATACTTTGAACCCCCCAAGTAAAACTTAATTAAATACATTTCTACATCAGAGTTCAATATAGTTGAATTAGTAACCGAAGTATACTCCTTACTTTGTTTTTCACCTTCATTTTTACTTGTCAAACCATTTAATAAAACGGTCCATATATAATTTATTTTTGTAAAAAAATACAACCGACTTCAAATGCTCTAAAATAAATTATTTTCATATTCATATAGAACATTTGTGTGTGTTATTTTCACTATGCAATAATTCTGAAGTAAACATAAAATACAAGAAAATACTTCCTTTGATATCTATAAACAAAACAGTTCAGTATGTTTTTATTTAGGTATTTATGTTATCCAGCTACAATCTATTGATTTTCAAAATACACTGTCAATATCTTTTATTTTATTCGTATTTGCAGTTAGAGCCGCACCGACTTGAAATACGTGAGCTTGACTAATACAATATTATTTCATTCTTTTTAGAGCATTTGAAGTCGGTTGTATTTTTATACAAAAATAAATAATTTCATGATTTTTAGTGACTGTATAATTTGTTATATATTAATTACTTGAAGTTTTTTGATAAGCAAAACTGTTTGAAACAATTAAAAGTGCCACAGAACAATCATTATTTTTAAACTGCTTGAGTCACCTGTTCAGGTTAAATAATCCATGGGTATAAAATTTAACATTTTTGGATTTTCCTTAAAAAAAATCAAAGAGTTGTCCATTACATTAGGCCTGATGAAAAACTAAATGTCTTTCCTAGAGACATTGAAATGCCAGACATCATCGTTTCCTGCAATTGGTGTACTTCTACATTATAAAGCTAAATGCAGTAAGGTCTCAAGCCTTTTGGAACAATAAGAAAGTTATTCCTCAGCCACCAGCACTAAAAAATATCTTAAAAGTAGAAAATCGGTTGTTATCACGTATATTATCTTTGAAAAATATGTATATGAAAGATTGGTTCAGCTAAAAGTGGTGTAAGGGGTAGGTGGTTTTGTTTGCTCAAGATGTAGTCGAAATCGCAAATCAGCTTCCCATTTCCGAAGCAGGCATAATATTATTGACAGTGAAGAATATTAATAAACATTCCACATCTTCAAATGCATGTTTAGTAATTAAAATATTTAACACTTTTAAGACGATTGACGATTATGCATCTCACACCTCTTATGCCGTTTAAGGAATAATTGCATCTAATTTATATTTGGACCTCTTTTTCGAATACTTTGGTTTTCACAATACCCCTTAAATTGTCAACATCATACTGCTATTCACTATGTTTTTATAAGTAAGAACATTCAATACTCAAAACAGAATCATACACAAATCAGGTCAAACGTTTAAATACCTTTTTTATAGTAACTAAAACAAAATGCATTTTTTCAATGTAACTTATTTAGGCTCCATGGCAAGAAATAGTTTATTAATCAATATGAAGCAACTGTTTCATGAAGAAACTGTCTGTAGCTTCATTTAAATGGTTTTAACTAACAGCTGTGGGAATGTTATTGTTATTTATTGCCTTCTCTGCAAAAATATAAACAAAATAAATGTGGAATATTTGAGTCTTTCATTATTTTTCACCAAACAAATATGTTTCTTAAACATAATGCTATATATGGTACCAAATAGAAATTCTCCTGGTTATTTTGGTGGTGGAACCACGCTGATCGGTAAAAGAATCACAGAGAAATTGGTGAACATACATAGAAAAAAAATATCGCCACAGACAAATTGAGAACCTCCTCCTTTTGTTGGTAGTGGAGAAGTCGGTTAAAAATACATGTGGCAATGATTAAACCATATGGTATATCACATTTTCTTATCGTTGTAAACAATGCCAGTCTGGTACAGAGAGCAGACCACCTGTTCTAACAAGAGGGGTCAGTTTACCTCCTTTTACAGTGACTTACCTAATAATCTTGATCATTTCTTGCGGTACGACTTTCGCAACACATGTGGCTTCGAGTTTCGCAAGAATATTGTACCGAATTTTGCATTTGGTAAACAGAATTACGCCAGTTAATGTACATGATTCGTTGAGCATAACTAGCTGAGCCAAATGAATTTCACTTGTTTCAAAACTAGTAAACAAGCAAGAGATTTCTTGGTACTGAAGTATATTGTGGATATAACTTTGGCATATGTTTACTAAGAGTAAGATTTCGTTATTTAATTGAAGAGTAAATTTAGAGAGTATAAAATTATTTAGTAATTTTAATTGCATGGATTATAAACAAAACAATGAACTCTACTTCAGTAGAGAAATCTATGGATTTTTCTGTCCGTACTAACAAGACATAATTAAGACAAGGAAAAAACAGATGATTTTGAGAAACATTTACCTAGTGGTAAGAAATGTTTCAGTTCTTTATGTACATGTTTTGTCTTCAACTCCGTTAAGTTAAATTTTGAAAAGTAGTAGGCCTACCTAATACGAAAAACTGACTAACCTTTTTCTTTCCTTGATGAAGGAATTAATTGTTTCTTCTCTTAAAGGTGACGACTATTCGAACTCGATACTTTACCTCTGGCTCAATAAAACACTTTTTAATTATAAATTTATACTCCTTTAACCCAGTAGGTATCCAATGAAAAGGCCATAATTTATTTGGAACAGAAATTGTTGTCCATTTGCAATCTGTTGTATGGCGTTTAAAACATTGATATTACTCCGCGCCAAAGCTGGTGGCGGCTGAGGGATTAGGACGGCCAGGTATGACTACATAAGTCGGCCCTGCTCACCGACCTGGCCGTCCTAATCCCTCAGCCGGAGTATAAATAATAGAAACGAAAAAATTTACATTACTGAATGAAAATAATTCCTGGCACTGAACCATATTCACTTGTTGATTGATAGATTTTTTTATTTTTTCATAAAACAAAAAAAAAGTAATGTTTGTACTATCAAGATGTGAAACAATCATGAAACTCATAAACAATAAAAGGCAATATAAATAAATAGCACACATTTTTTAAATATTTATTACACAAAAATTAATTCTAAACTAAATATTACTCTACTTATCACTAGATCACACTAAATTCTTAGACCTAATTTTGACATGTTGCAGCAATTGTAATGCTTGAGGTGGACATCGTAACCATAGTTCATTCAAGTTTTGGATTGTTTTGATTTTATAAAACTTATTATTTGGTTGATAAAAATTCTTAAATAAAATCTGTATATTAACCTATTTTATAATATATAATCATTTATCAATATATTGTAATTGAATGGTTATCATTGATTGAAACATAAGTAGGATCAGAATAATACTAGGTTGAATGAACATTGATTTTCAATATCCAAAGTTATTTAGTGTACAAATGTATCACTTTCAGATGTTGCCATTTGCTAATCTTGTAAACTTAAAGTAGGAAGAATCAACAGGTATTTATTATTAAATACAACATTTGAACAATAATATATTATCAAGAAGGAAATTCAAAGGTTTTAACACGAACAACGTTGGACGAATTTGATGGGATTAAACTTTGTTACGATAGGTTTAGTTACAAATCATCCTCAAAGGAAACTTGTTTATTGTGTAGTTTTGATTATTACTTTGTCTGTTATTTGATAAAAAAATTGACAAACACTAAGACGTTGTTCTGCAAACTGGTATTTGTTAACATCAACATGCTTTTAAAGGGATTTGCAATCTTCAAAAAGAAGATTTTTCTGAAGAAGTTGCATAGGCTTACGCTTATAAGGAAAAATAACGTTTGCATTGGAATCTTCGAAGAAAAATTATTGTTCACTTTGGTTTCCGTAATGGATGGGAAATACTGTTTACATTTGAATATTTGAAGGAAAATTGTGCTCGCGTTGGAATATTTGAAAGAAATTACTGTCGCGTAGCCATCTTCGAAGGTTGTGTCACAACTCAAGAATCTATTGAGGCCAATGTCTCGATGACCAATGGGAGCTAGAGAATGTGACAGTGGGCGATCTGAATACAAGGATTGGGAAACACGCCTCTTCACAGCTGACGGAGGTCAAGACAATGTCTCACTCTGGAGAAACAAACAGTTTGACATAAATGTCATCGGTTTCTCAAAATTAAAAACATCAATTACAGGAAGATTTGAAGTTGACAGCGCTATTGCGGAAAATAGATTGACGAAATGGTTTATCCGACCTGATCTAAGTATAGCGTTGACAAAGATTTAGTTTTAGATGTTTTCCTGACCCATAAGAAAAAAGTGTAAAAGTGGAAGGCACAAATAAACAACATTTATTAACCTAATCTATGTACAACCTTACAATGAATACTAATTTAATTATTTAGTAAAATAAATTATTAGTGAATACTTTTAATCTCCATTTCATTTCGGAGACGTATATACAACTAACTGGATCACAGTTTCATGTAACAGTAATATGACACTAGAATCGACCAGGTCGACGTGGTATGTGTATTCGATGTTCTTGGTCATGCTTTTGAGGTGAACCGAACTGATAAGTAAATCAGCCATGGACTCGTGATTTTTCAGTAATTTAAGTAATTATGAATTAAAGAGTTCATCCATCTGAATTTAGTAATTAAATCCATACTTAAGGTTGGAATAGTTTCTGGAAGGAACTCTAAATAACAGCAAACAAAAATGTATCACTTTTCAATTATTTCCACGAAACTACTAAAATAGAAAATGTCCACTGGTCTGTAAAGTTAAATTTGTAACCGTAAACGCTTTCTGCGATGCAAAAAGTGCATGATACAGAATCGACCATCCTAGACAATTTAAAACCTAGGGTCGTATGGAGTTGAGTCGAAGCCGACGTATCGGTTGTTCTTCCTGTGCACGAAGCCTGTCCCAGGGGCGGAGTTGTAGTAGATGACCCTCCGGATGCCGAAGGGGTCGATGTAGCCGAAGCTGCCGGCGCGCTTCTCTCCGGGAAGTGTCTCTTCCTCGTGGTAGTGCCTGGGGAGGTAGTACCGGAATCCATCATGAGTCATGGAGACGCCATCGTACGGAGAGACCTGATCTCGGCCCGAAGAGTACCGCTGGGCACCGACCGTGTCGTAGACTCTCCTGGAGGCAGAGGGGTAGATGGAGTTGGGGTCGAAGTATGGTCTGAACGTCTGGGGTCTAATTGGAGCTGGAGTCGGAGTCGGGGTAGTCGCTTCATAATAAGGCTCAGGAGTACTAGAAGGATAAGAAGAATAGTACGAGTTAGGTGTGATGTACACTTCCTTCACATACGGTGCAGGAGTCGACGAAGGATACTCTTTGTTCTGCTTCAAATAGTCACTGAGCGATATAGGTGCTACTGTGGAGGAAGAGTAGTCCAAAGAGTTCGACACGAGTTCAGGACGGTAAGTGGAAGACACGTAAGGCTTAGGCTTCTCGTATATCTTCGCGTTCTCGACCCCAACTCCTCCTTGACTGGGTACTTTCTTGGCGGCGGACACAGCGTCGCCAATGGGTGTGTCGACTCCAACAAGAACCTTCTTGGTGCGGACTATGCGGTAGCCCTTGCTGTCGGCTATGTAGTCCCGAAGCCTAAGGTAACCGTTAGAGTCTACCCAGCCGTACGATCCAACCACGGTGCCATCCTCCAACCTCTTCTCCTTGCGGTACTGGCCGCTGAGGGTTTGGTACTTGAAGTATCTCTCGGGTCCTTCATCAGTCTGGATGTGGTATTGCGTGTTAGGTGACGTGTCCCATCCTCCTATCTTAGCACTGGCCACTCCCAACACCACGACCTGAAACAGATGCAAGAAATTTGAAATTGATGGGTTTTGATACCTTGAAAGAAGAAATCAGAAGATTTTAAAGTGGATGACACATTGGCTACGTCAGAACAGCACTGCAGACCCTGTAGATTTATAATCATTGTTCGCCATTCCAATGTAAATTGTGCAAGTTATATTTAATTCTTACTACTTGAAATATGTGAATCAATAATTATTCTCAATCTCTCAAAACAGCCCAATTAATCCAGCATTTACATCTCATTAAAGATTGGAACACGTCATCGATCAAACCCCCAGTTGAACTTGTTTATCACCTCAGGTCTTTGACATAAAGGATGGACGACGTCATTTCAAGGCTGACGGCTGCCCACTCTACCCTGCCCTAGCCCTAACATGGAGGCACACGCGCGAAACTGCCAACTTGCTATTGGCCAGCCCAGCCTTGGCACTGTAATGTTCCATTGTCCCAACAAACAATTAACTGGCGAGTTTTGTCCGGGTGACACTTGAGTCGCCAACGTTTATAGGTTTGAGGTTTATTTGTATCTTGGAAGTCCATCTTTCATATTTAGTCGCAGGCTCATGCCCATGTGTCTGTGTGTACATCTGCAGAAAATTTAGTCAATTATTTTCACTGACGAATCTCTGTCATAACTACTTATGTATTACAAAGTTTCCTATAGTGCATTAAATCATGATAAGCCTTTGTTCAGGTGTGGTGAAGGTCATGTACTAGGTGTTAAGGTACAATGGAAGTCAGTTTAAAAGGTGCACAACAAAGTGCTTTGCGACAGACAACTCAGCAAGACACTAGTCTTTAAAAATTTATGGAGGCCAATGAACACCCTTTTCCTCATAAGTAGTAAGTAGCATAATGAAAAAGGTGGACTGAATACCAAGTAGTACTTGGTACTGAGCACGTTACTTGATGGGAACTTTTAATGCAAACGATTTATGTATGGAAATCTTAACAGTCCTTAAAATTATCTGTGTTTTAACCATTGACTTCTGGATTCTGAAGAAGACCTACTATCTATTTGGACCATTTGTGACAATTTTTATTTAATACTACATAGTTCGATGTACCTCTCACGGGATGTGCTTCTATAAAATTAATTTGCTCTCTTAACTTTAGATACTATGATAGTTACTTTGTCATGAAATATAGCCTGAAATAAATTGTCCTTTCACTTTAGCTTGGCTACAGTTAGCAAATTCAACAGCAAAGAGTAATTTATATCAACACCTAGACATTTATGTTTAGTTAAACTGAGTTCATTATGCTCTCATACTGGTTACAGATTTCTTGGTGTCTACCATTGCCCAGTTTAAGCATGAAAGAAAATCAAACTTATTTAGGGGAAAGGGGTCTAAGCCTCTTAAATGGTTGAATATACACCAAGAATCACATCCATCCATCTCACGTTGGAGTTGACGATGCTAGTTGATAACACAACCAGAAATGGGAACCATGTTCATTTAACACTAGAAACAGCTAGGCCTACATACTGTACGAGTACTTCTATCAACAATCAAATCATAAACTTCCTAACACATCACAACCAGTCCTGTTTTCCAACAATCACACGTCTTCTCTTCAAAGATGAAAGACAGCCTTGTATAAAGTTACGGCACCCTTCGCCATACAGCCTTCAGTATGAGATAGTGGAAGATACACCTACAGTAGACCTCCAGTCTCGGCCTGGGCGCCGTCCCAGCTCCATCCGCCACCTCCCACGACCCGCGACCCGCGAGGGAGTGGTCAGCGGTGGGAGTCCTAGGTTGACCTACATCTAGAGGTCGCTAGAAGTGCAAATGAAAATGGAGTAAATGCAACAAGGACAATGGAGGAGAGCACTCAAACTAAGCTACATGTATATGAGGAGTTTATTGGAAACGTGCTTTGAAAATATGATCCGCAAATTAAAATTAATGTTAGTTTTTACTTGGTATTGACCTATACTTGTATAAAATAAAGATGAAATTACATAAAGTGATTTTTTTAAATATTACATGATTGAGGGAAATATAATTAAATTATTAATTGTATTATTAAAATTTTGTATGGACTTAATTTTTTAACCAAAGGTCCATACCCCAATGCCAAGCACTTTCAACCTTAACAGCTGGTAGTTAACGTCTAATTTCCCCCAAGGAGACCGGAGACTTGAGTGGTGGGTCACACCGATGCCGCTTGAGGCTGGTTTAACCACCTTTGTCCGGTGTAGACAGGAGCATAAAGACAGACAGGTCAAGAAACCTACACAATACTCGGGTATTATTGATAGGCCTGATATAATTACTAAATAATTCATTCCATCATGACAGGTTGATAGGTCGGCGTCGACAGAGGGTTTTGTGGCCTTTTTAGTGTCTTAAGATTGATCGTTTTGACTTTTTAAGTACGAGAGCCTTGTATTAGATTAATTAAAATACATTATCTTATTATTTTTTCCACATATCTAGTAAGAGCATATTTACTACCGAATGGTAATAATTGTTGAATTGTTTCTGTTGACGTAATACATCGTTATTCCAGTCAAATTTACCAAAACTGTTTGTACTATTACGGGTTTTTTCGTTGTTTCTTTTTTTACTTTGTACTATCTATGACTTTAAACTAATTTTTAAAAAACGTGTTATTTGCAAAGATTTTAATGAGGTATACAAATTGCTTCATAAAACTTAGTATTTCAATTGTAATACTCAATCTTAAATGGGTTACTCCATCTTCACTACTTCTTCAACACGAAATACCATAAAACCTCAATAAACCAATAAACTCTAAATATTTTGTAACATATTTCCATTTATGACGTCACGCAGGGAACTAGAACTCACGAGGCTCAAATTAAAACCCGAAGAACGACGTTTCTAATACCGTTTCACAAACCGTTTCGAGAAGTCATAAAGATACAATCGGCCGTCAACAAAGGGGAGTTGCCTAGCAACTGATCAGCCTGAGAAGTCGTTGATGTTACGCTGATGCAACTTATTGTCTTCGAGAGGAAACATCTCGCCAACTCTGAGCAGGAAGTGTAACGTATAACGCGTTGGGAGCGACTCGCATTCACATGTTCAGTTACACAACCGTGATGAGTGGCGTTGTCACGGTTAAAGTCGAGAAGTAATCGTTGCAACTGATTCCAAATTTGACTTGCTGACCAGTCTTGACAAATATGGTCGGAGGAATCTTCTTTCTAATTGGTGAAAGTTTTCCGAATGATAAGTAACGCTGGAAATTAAAATTTCAAACAGTGGAATTAATTGAGTAACGTTGGTCCTTCGAGCCGGATAAAGGGACAGTGACGTCACCCTGGTACGTTGCCTCATACCGCTTAGCTGAGGCTGTCTCGTGTCTCGTACCTCATACCAGCCTCTCGCAACTAGATAACCACCCAGGTTGGGACACTCAATGGAATCCAGCTCTTGACATTGGCGGTCTTTGTCCTCCACAATGTCTGGAGAGGAAATAGTTTGTTATGGAAATTTGTGTATTTGGCTCTTGATGGTTGTGGTTAACTTAAAAAAGCTCTTCTTGTTATAATTTGTTTACTTTTTTGCAGCACTCGTTTATATTAATTTATAAAATACACTGTTCGTTTGTCATTTGCAGGTACAGTACATACAATTACACCAACCTATATATCATCTACGTCAGTCATTGATTCGATAGCTCTACGATATACTAGCATCTATACTACACGATATACTAGCGATATACTAGAGATGATGTCATCATCTAGTGTGCGTAGCCGTTCACTAAACTATCCATAATATCCTTATAGCCTTCATTTACATTGCGTCGATGGATTTAAACAAAACACTACTACGAATTAACATATAGAGCACTTGCGTAGCTATCTGGCAACCGACCAACATTTTATTACAACCTTAGATATCCACTTTGGACACTTAAAGGCTGCATATTGTAGAAAAACGCAGCAGATATGTTTCTATTCTTTTACCTTTAAATATTCTTAGTATGTGGTACACATTTCGCAAACCAATATGAATTCTCAACATCATATCAGGTCGAAAAAGTACAATAAGTGCCTTGACAAATTATAAACAAAATACTGAAAAAATATATCAGCCATCAGCTTTAATATTTGAAAGGTATATAAATATTCATCCAGGTTACACAAAAGTACCCATTTCTGAATCGGATTAAGTAAAGTAATATTACAGTTTGATACTCGTTTATCTTTCAACACACTGGTTCATCTCCCCACTCCCTATTGCTACTATAGTCTCATGAGATAGCTATGCGGTAGGGAGGGGTCGGACCTTATACAGGACAGCGTGAGTGGATAGTGGGCGAACAGGGATCTTCGTGCAAAAACTACTTCTTACGTCACTCTATATATGGCAGAGAACATGTAAAACAACAGTGAGATAATTCTGTGAACTAGATCTTGACTGAGAATAATGTTCTGGTTGCTGAGGTTGGGCACCAGGTTGTTGACATGTTGAGATTTGAAGATCTACTAACTTTTCAAAATATAGTCATGAATGTCATTAATACCTCATCAAAGTCCATTTGCTATAGAGTAGTTGATAACGTTTCTATTATTGATAAAAGGGCAATTTTAACTGAATTATTATTATTATTATTAGTTGAACCACAGACAATATGAACTATGTATTTGAATTTACTTTAAAAATTAACTACGCTCATTGTTCATTTAATTCAAATCTTTTCAAAATTCTTACTCGTGACATTTCTAAGAATGTAAACTTTCTTTTTTGGGTTTTAAGTAAAATTTACTTCTTGCAATTTTTTCGACGTGAAATATGTTTTCATGAAATTAAGAGCAAATTAACTGTACAATGAATTAACAGAAAGAATGTGAATTGTAGCTAATTCAATTACTAAATACTATGTTTACTACTTTACTGTTAGTAAGTATTAAATCAAATTTTCTCAAAACAGTGTGCCCCACCAAATGGAAACTTTAACAAATTATAAACAAAATTTAAAAATATTTGACAAATAAGATTAGAAT